TGGAGCTGACAGCGGGAGCTCGCTCTGCTAGGATTGCCACCTCTTTCTAAAACATTCCCAAGGCAGGAGCACCAGCTCCACCAAAGTTAAGCAAGGATGATGCCCGAATGTTTTACCGTCATATGGGAGGCTTCTCTCATGTCCCCGCATGAGAAGCTGGAGTTGACAGCGGGAGTTCACCCTACTAGGATTGCCACCTCTCTTTCCAAAACATTCCCAAGTCAGGAGCACCAGTCCCACCAAAGTTAAACATTAAAATAACAATACAACCCCCTCCAAACAGGAGTCCTCAAAACACAACTGGTAACTCTGGGCCCTTCCACACAGCTCTATAATCCAGAATATCAAGGTACCTACAATATCCGCTTTGAATTTGGTTATCTGAGTCCACGCTGCCATATATTCTAGTTCAAAGCAGAAAATCTGAGATTTTATTTAGCTGTCTGGGGACCCCAGACGCTCAACTTTGGGGTGCATTATATGCCTACTTTTCCTATTGTCCTTTTATTTTCATAATGTGTATTTTGGATTTCAGTCCTTGTAACTCCCTCCCCGATTTCTTTCCCTCTTTCTGGTTAATCGTTAAGGTTTGTCCGGCAGGAAGGACTTCGAGAGAGGAGGAGAAGGAAAGGCCCAGCGAATGGGAACTCCAGATAAAGGGAAGTGGGTCGCAAAGAAGGCGTGAGGACAAGCCTCAGGTGTAGGTTCTCTTCTAACCTTCCTTTCTTCCCTCTGCCTTAGGAAGTTGAAGCCGCTGCAGAGAGTTGTGGAGGCGCCTGGGAGGCCGCAGTATTTCCATACCGATCCCACTAAGTTCAACGGTAGAGACTCCAACAAGTTCAGAGTAAGTAAGTGGGCATGTAATCCTGATGGAGAAAGACGTCCAAGGCAATTGGCACAGCAATTAAGGGCTCCATCGGGCTTAAGGCAGGAGTTTGGGACGTTAGACTAGATCCAACTGCCAGTTTCAACTAGAGGAGACTCATAGAAGCAATGGAATTAACTCATATTTGGATCAATAATAACATTAGCCTCGTATCTCTTAACCCAGTAAATAGAGAGACAATCCCTTAAACCTTCGATCATATTTCTGCCTTCTCAGACAGGCCTTTTATCCCAGGATCGGATCCCAGGTTTTCTGTTTATCCCAGATTATCTGGCATTGGGGGCTCATATAATCCAGTTTAATACAGGAGCCCCCTTGGCGCACAGGATTGCTGACCGAAAGGTTGGCAGTTGGAAACAGTTGGAATCCGACTAGCGGGATGAGCCCCCTCTGTCAGCTCCAGCTTCTCATAGGATGGCAAAACACCCGGCCTTTCCCTGGGCAACTTGTGGATCGCCAATTATCTCACACCAGAAACGATTTACAGTTTCTCAAGTCGCTCCTGACACACACACACAAAATGCAGAAAAACTGGTATCAGATCCTGGGATAATAGGGTCTGTCTGGAAGAACTCTTAGTCTATTTGTTTCTTCTGTTCACTTTTATTTTTTTTCTCTCTCTCCAGATAGATAGATAGATAGATAGATAGATAGATAGATAGATAGATAGATAGATAGATAGATAGATAGATATCTGAGGCCCTGAGTGCCCCCCCCCGGGGGGTTGAGCAGGGCGGAGTAGGAATTATGTAAATAATAATAATAATAATAATAATAATAATAATAATAATAATATGGCGTGCTCTCTATAAATGTAACGTTCGTTTGTGGGATTAACATAACTCAAAAACTACTGAACAAATTGACACCACATTTGGACACAATACACCTACCAGGCCAACGAGTGACCACTCATTAAAAACTGGAAAACACAGCAGAAGAGACTTAAAATCACACAAAAACACAAAAATGCATTTCACAGCATGCGCAAAACCACATATATACACAAACACACATATATACACACACAACACCTATACACAGACTGGGCCACAGCAACGGGTGGCAGGGGACTGCTACTTACTATCTGTCTATCTATCTATCTATCTATCTATCTATCTATCTATCTATCTATCTATCTATCTATCTATCTATCTATCTATCTATCTATGAAGAGCCATAGATGGAGAAATAGATCTATTTTGCTATATGGACCAGCAGTCAAAGGTGTAAAAATACCTCTAGGAAGATAGATATCTATGAAGATCTATAGATCCATAGACCCTCCTTTTGTCTACTTAGAAGTAAGTGCCACCAAATTCTATGCTGTGTGTAGCTAGGAAATAGATGTCGGAAGAAAAAATGGATGGGGTTGTGCCCAGTGCTTAACAGTCGGGATTGCAGCCCTTCTAATCTTTGAAATACAAAACACTCACAGACAATACATTACACAATGTGTAGAGATTCCGTGTTGGGTCGTGTTTGGCGGGTGGAAAAACGAGCTGGGCAGAAAATACACAGAAGGAAATGGATGAGAGAGAAATAGAAGGACAGAAGGGAAATGGAAGGATATGAAAGAGAAGTAAATAAAAAGCTCCAGGCCTTATTTTGCTAGTGCTGATATTATGGTCTGAGTACTATTAGTCGTTTAGACCTCTTTGTCGCTATTTATGTATTAATTTTTAAAGGCTTCAAGGAGGTGGGGAAAAGAGAAAGGAAAGAAGGAAATAAAGAAGGAAGGAAGGAAAGAAGGAAGGAAGAAAGAAAGAAAGAAAGAAAGATGAAAGAAAGAGATGTGAAAGAAAGAGGTGTGTTCTGATTAACTTTTCTGCAATCAGCCTCATCGGAAGAAAAAATAGTCCGCCACAACTGTACTTCCAAATAAGTTACTTTTTCTTAATGTCTCTTGTTCCAGACCCGCATTCCATTTAAAGGGAGGGATGAATGGATTCCTTTCCAAGGAGGCGAGCTCGGGTAAGGATTCGCGTTCATATTGAACGGCTCCAATTCCTCTCTACACTTGAGCCTTGGACGATGGCTCCTCAATGCAACTGGAAGGCTGGCCTTCCCTTGAGCTTGATACTATCTATCTACGCCTTTCTTTCTCTTGGTTGTCTGTTTTGACCTCATTTCCGCCACAGATAAGAAAAAGAGGATGCCCAATGCCATCGGACGTCACTCAAATAACCATAGTTACTGGGAAACTAATAAAATAATATTTTTAATTGCTAGTATAGCCATTGTATTTTCTACAAGCTCTCTGAAATGGTTTCACTTAAGTAGTAAAGGAGAAAAGAGGACTCTGGGGGAAATAATGCGTCATGTTTTAATATCTATGTTTTAAAAAATAGTTTTTTAATGCCTTCCCTTCATTTTTAATGTCCCAGAGACACCCATTTTCCCGAGGCGCAAGTGTGCCTTGGTCCAATGCAAGAATTGCCAAATTGCTAATAAATTGTTCTTTTGGATGAATACTTTCTGGTTTACTTTGAATTGGTTTGTGTGGGAGAATTTCCCGCAGGGTTAGTTAGGCCTTTTGAGATTTTCTCAATATGGCTGTCCACACTTTTCCAAGCCAAGTCGCCAGTTTGTCAACATCGCTTGGAACCAGCCAGGGAAAATTATTTTTTTAATTTAAAAAAAATCAAACTTTACATATTCCTTCTTCCGCCTTGAAATGAAAAACGAAGACTAATAATAATAATAATAATAATAATAATAATAACAACAACAATAACAATAACAACAACAATAATAATAATCCAGCATATATATCTCGTTTGCTGTGACATACTGTGTTTTTGTGTCAGAATAATAATAATAATAATAATAATAATAATAATAATAATAATAAATCGGATTAGGGGCGACTTGAGAAACTAAAAGTCGCTTCTGGTGTGAGAAAATTGGCCGTCTGCAAGGACGTTACCCAAGGGAACCTTCGACCTGTTGGTCTTCAGGGTTTAACCCATTGCACCACGGAGGCTCCTAATAATAATAATAACAACAATAATAATAATATAAAATAATTATAAAATAATTATAAAATAATAAAGAATAATATTAAAAATAATTAAACTATCCTCCGTCACTTTCGTTGTGAGAAAATTGACCGTCTGCAAGGACGTTGCCCAAGGGAACTTCCGACCTGTTAGTCTTCAGTCCTGCACAAAGGTTTAATCTATTGCACCAAGGGGGCTCCTAATAATAATAATAATAATAATAATAATAATAATAATAATAATAATATGAAAATAATATTAAAAATAATTAAACTATTTATATTCTCCCCTCTCTTCCCAAGAGGACACAAATATTTTAATTTATTATATATATATTCTTTTTTCTTATATTTCTTACATTTCCCCCCAATAATAATAATAATAATAATCTGCTTTCCTTTAAATCGTACTTTTCTTTATTTGAAACTCAGATGACCTGCGGTTGTATTTTTATCTAGAGTCTTTCTCCGAAGGGACCAACTTGAGGGTCCTCACATTCTCACCCCAATAACCACTTGTTACAACCCTTTCAAGAACGCCAACCAAAAAAAATATTATTCCTCATTTCATGAGTTTCTTCTTTGTCAATTTCACGGGTTTTGGGAGGCACTTTGGATGCGTGTGTGACATCACGAGACAAGGATTGCGTATCTGAACTTGGCAGTAAATACTATATAGTATTGTCGAAGGCTTTCATGGCCGGAATCACTAGGTTGTTGTGAATTTTCCGGGCTGTGTGGCCATGTTCCAGAAGCATTTTCTCCTGACGTTTCGCCTGCATCTAGAATTGCGTATCTGAACTTGGCCGTAAATACTAAATAGTATTGTCGAAGGCTTTCATGGCCAGAATCACTGGGTTGTTGTGAGTTTTCCGGGCTTTATGGCCATGTTCCAGAAGCATTTTCTCCTGACGTTTCACCTGCAGGCAAAACGTCAGGAGAAAATGCTTCTGGAACATGGCCATACAGCTCGGAAAACTCACAACAACCCAATACTAAATAGCATCAAAGCGCAGGAGGACTTAGAACTATTAAAATTAAAACGACTTTTTGTAATTTCGGGTTTTCTGTCCCTTTTACTACCCCGAATCCTCGCCAACGCAATGTACCCACCTGGCGCAAGGTGATGGCTCTGGGTGAGATGTAATGAGGACTGCTTCTGGAGGGGCTGTTTCTCTTCCGCGTCCTCTTCCTCCTCGGCTTCCTCTTCCTCCCGGTCTCTCTCCAGGGGCCCATAGTTCGGTTTCAGCAAGATGGACACCCCGTTATCTCTTCTAGTCTCCCCGAAACCCGTGGGAGAAGCGGGTGAAGGGTTTCCTGGGCGCAGAGTCCCATCCGGAGGGGCGGAAGTCCATGTCCGGGCAGGTGAAGGGGTCGGGAGGGGGAGGCAACGGGGAGAGTCGGAAGGGCAAGCTGGGTCCCTTCCCGCCGAAGGGAACTTCTCGGCCTCGAAAGCCAAGCAGGAAGACTCCTCGAGGTCTTTGCTCCTCGGCGCAAACAGGCACGACGAGCGGATCTTGGGCGCCCGGAACTCATGGTGGGGATGGTGGCCTCTCCAGCCTGGGTGGTGGCAAGGAGGCGGCAGGAAGCGCAGTCCGGACTGGGGGCCGCTCATGGTTCTCCCCGCCCCATGGAACCCCTTCCTTACAGCAAGGCAAGGGGGAACTCAGAGATCGAGGTGAGAGATTGAGGGCGTGGGGAAGATTGGCAGGAAAGTTGGGGGAAGAGCTGGAGGGGGTGCCTGCTGCCTCTCTGTGTGCGGGAGAGAGGGAGTGCTGAAGGGAAAAAAGGTCCTTAGCAATGGACTTATCTGTTGGAAAACCACTTCCGGCGGACCAGCCAATCCCAGATGGACATGGCTTCTACGGACATCCCCTGGTGTCAATTTTAATGGCAAACTTTACTGGCTTTGTGGAGCGACTCATCTTTCCTCCTTCTTCTTCTTTAAAGAAATCTTTTGCTGCCAACATCTGCTACAACTCATTCCTTCCACGGTCACCCCTCCTTCCCTCCTCCCTCCCTCCCCACATCCTAAATATAATCTGTCTGTAAAGAATTGCAGAGCTCTCTAGCTGGAAAAGTAATAATAATAATACGTACTCATTATTTTTCTCTCTCTCTGGATCGTTATAGGTTTCCTGCCTAAGTTCTCCAATGCGTCCCAGTGCCAAGGAAGTAGCCAGTTTAGGCCCCAGACTAAAGGAGAAGGGGTGTGTGTGTGTGTGTGTAAGGCCCTCTTGTTTAGTTGTGGCCGTAGGTTTAAAATGCCAATTCTCTCTTGCCCCTCCCATGTCAAATAGCAACCTTGTCTGACAACACAATCTGTGGCACAATGGGTGAAACCCTTGTCCAGGCAGGACTAAAGACCAACAGGTCGGAGGTTCGAATCCGGTTCGAATCCGAATCTGGGTGAGCAGGGATGAGCTCCCTTTGTCAGCTCCAGCTCTCTATGAGGGGACATGAAAGAAGTCTCCCACATAGGTTGGTAAAACATCAAAACATCCGGGTGTTCCCTGGGAAGTTCGAATCCGGTTCGAATCCGAATCTGGGTGAGCGGGGATGAGTTCCCTTTGTCAACTCCAGCTCTCTATGCGGGGACATGAAAGAAGTCTCCCACAAGGTTTGTAAAACATCAAAACATCCGGATGTTCCCTGGGCAACGTCCTTGCAGACGGCCAATTCTTTCACACCAGAAGCGACTTGCAGATTCTCAATAATAAATAATAATAAACTTGATGTATACTCCGCCATCATTTCCCAATGGGAACTCGGGGCGGCTAACAGAGTGGGGATGAGCTCCCTTTGTCAGCTCCAGCTCTCTATGCGGGGGCATGAAAGAAGTCTCCCACAAGGATGGTAAAACATCAAAACATTCGGGTGTTCCCTGGGCAACGTCCTTGCAGACGGTCAATTCTCTCACACCAGAAGCGACTTGCAGATTCTCAATAATAAACAATAATAAACTTTATTTATACCCCGTCATCATCTCCCCAATGGGGACTCGGGGCGGCTAACATGAGGCCATGGCCAAAAAATACACTACAACACAATCAAATACAGAATGCAAAAAAACAAACAAAACTTACACCAGAAAATAATGACAGTAACAAAACAAAACAATAAAGCAAGTTAACACAATATAAAAGCAAACAGGAAGGGCAGGCCGAATGGATAAAATGATAAAACCCTGGGTGAGGTAGGAATAGAAAAAGTGTAAGTGAGGGGAACCCAAGAAGGATAAAACAGTGGGGGTAAGGCTTTCAATTTAGGGCAGGGGAAAATGCATCATAGGGGCAACAGCATAGATGGGGCGAACAGAAGTGAAATAAATGGTCAAGTCGCTGTGAAATAAATGGTCAAGTCGCTCCTGATTCGCTTGAAAATAAAGAGAGGCTCATGGAACATGAAAGGCACTGCAGACTAGCTCAACCGAAGAAGTCAGCCATAGCAGAGCACTCGATGAACCAACCTGGACACAGCATATTATTTGAGAACACAAAAATGCTGGACCACTCTAACAACCACAATGTCAGACTACACAGAGAAGCTACTGAAATCCACAAGCATGTGGACAATTTCAACAGAAAGGAGGAAACTATGAAAATGAACAAAATCTGGCTACCAGTATTTTAAAAACTCTAAAACAGGACAGTAAATAAAGAGCAACAGGGGAAATCCAGACAGAAAAAATCAGGGCCAGCTAACACCTCCCAACAAAGGATTCCCCCAAGAAGAAACCAGCCAGGCCTTGAAGCTGAAAGGCTTTTCAATGCTAATCAAGGTGTATTGTCGAAGGCTTTCATGGCGGAATCACTGGGTTGTTGTAGGTTTTTTGGGCTATATGGCCATGTTCTAGAAGCATTCTCTCCTGACGTTTCGCCTGTATCTATGGCAAGCATCCTCTGAGGATGCTTGCCATAGATGCAGGCGAAACGTCAGGAGAGAATGCCTCTAGAACATGGCCATATAGCCCGAAAAACCTACAACAACCCAGTAATCAAGGTGATTAATTGAAGCATTCACACTTGACTATAGTTCTTTCTCCCACCCTGAACCTTCCATAGATATATAAACCTCCCTTCCCTAGTTTCCATATCAACCTCTGGGGATGCCTGGGCAAAACTTCAGGAGAGAATGCTTCTGGAACATGGCCAGACAGCCCGGAAAACTCACACCAACCCAGAGGCCTCTTTCTTATCAGATCGAAAGTTGGAGAGAACCAACCAGGTCAATTTCTCTGCGTGAATGGTGTGTCGAAGAGCTTACAAGCAAGGCACTTGGAAACCATGTAAAGCAATGGAAGTGGTATATCCGGGACCCAATTAGACTGTAAGTCGCTCCCCAAAATATGGAGGCCCTTTCAGGTTCACATGTTGTTAGTTTGAGAAAAAAAGTTGAAAAACAGAGGGTGGAGGCCACATCCTTTGACCGGAATCCAAGATTTCTGCCTCAGTGGGACTCAACCGTTTAACTCACGAGCCCAACTTTTGCTGAGGGAGGTGGGGTGGGGGGTGGGGGGTGGGCTGGGTCTGAGTCAGTGTCGGAGAGAAGTCAAGTTATCCCAGGAGAGTCTCCATTGTGAATCGTATAACGACGAGGGTCTCCAGAGAGCTTTTATAAGGGAAAACCTTTCAGCAAGGCCTGGTTATGTGCAACTTAATTAAGGCAGCTTTCCACTCCCCTGGAGCTTGGATCGTCCCCATTCTCCCTCTCCTTTCCCCTCTGCTGCTTCCAACAGACTGGGGAAGAGAAGAGCTGCGGGTGGGTGCAACATGCTCCAAACAGCGATCACTTTCATCCAAAACAGTAACATGCCGCATTTGTGGGTGAGAGATCTCTTTGCTTTTGGCATTCAGCCCTTTATCAACCCACTGATTGTAGAACCTCTTTCAAAATGAAGGAAAGAGCGCAATTTCCAGGTTCAAGCGGCTTGCAGAGAAAATAATGTGTTATTGTAGGTTTTTTGGGCTGTATGGCCACGCTCTAGAAGCATTCTCTCCTAACGTTTCGCCTGCATCTGTGGCAAGCATCCTCAGAGGTTGTGAGCTCTGTTGGAAACTAGGAAAATTGGGTTTATATATCCCAATTTTCCTTTGTGGTTGACAGAAAAGAATCCAGATAAGATTTACCAGAGTCTTTTTTTAAAAGTATTATTTTGGAAGGGTGCCCCTTTGTAAAGCCTTTCTTACTCCAAGTGCCACGAAAACTCAAGATACCACAAACCCATTGGAAAGTGTTCGGGAAGCGTGTGTGTGCTCCCCCTCCCTCTATTGTGTCTGTCTTGGGGGAAAAGTCGTTTCCTTTTGCATGTTGTAACAAATCTTTCCTAAGAGGAGCCTGGATAATAACAATCATCATCATCATCATCATCATCATCATCATCATCATCATCATCATCATCATCATCTATATAAATAAAAATGTAATGTTCGTTTGTGGGATTAGCAGAACTCAAAAACCACTGGGCGAATTGACACCAAATTTGGACCCAATACACCTATCAGGCCAACGAGTGACCATCACTCATAAAAACATGGAAAAACACAGCGGAAGGGACTTAAAAATCCAAAAAATAAACACTACATTACAACGCATGCGCAGAACCACAAACACACACATATATGCAAACACACGTGTATACACATATATACAAAAATAATAAATAATGACACTTTATATTCAATCCTTCTCCCCAGGGGACTCAGAGGGGATTACAGCATATATAAACAGACACAGGCAAATATTCAATGCCTTGTGTTGTCCAAGGCTTTCTTGGCCAAACTCACTAGGTTGCTGTGAGTTATCCCGGCCTGTATGGCCATGTTTCAGAAGCATTCTCTCCTGACGTTTCGCCCACATCTATGGCAAGCATCTTCAGAGGTTGAGGGTCTGTTGGAAACTAGGCAGGTGGGGTTTATATATCTGTGGAATGTCCTGAGTGGGAAAAAGAACTCTTATCTATTGGAGGCAGATGTGAATGTTGCGATTGGCCACCTTGATTAACATTGAATGGCCTTGCAGCTTCAAATCCTGGCTGATTTCTGCCAGGGAGAGCGGGTTGAGCTCCCTCTGTCAGTTCCAGCTCCCCATGCGGGGACATGAGAGAAGCCTACCACAAGGATGGTAAACATCAAAACATCCGGGTGTCCCCTGAGCTACTTCCTTGAAGATGGCCAACTCTCTCATATCAGAAGCAATTTGTAGTTTCTCAAAGTTGCTCCTGACACGGAAAAAGGTGTGAATGTTGCAACTGGACATCTTGATTAGCATTTAATGACCTTCCAGCTTAAAAGCCTGACTGGTTTCTGCCTGGAGAAATTCTTTGTTGGGATGCGTTAGCTGGTCCTAATTGAATCTTGTCTGGAATTCTCTTGTTTTTTTTAGCGTTATTCATTATTTACTGTTCTAATTTTAGAGGGTTTTTAAAAATACTGGTAGGAGTAGGAGAGAATGTTTCTGAAACATGGCCATACAACCAGGCCCATAGCCAGGATTTTGTTTGGGGGGGGGGAGCTGAGTTTGATGGGGGGGGGGCTGAGTCTGAGTGAAAGAGGGTTTACCCTAGCAAACCTTTTGTATCGTTACCCCAATACCCCCATGCATATGGGATATATTGAGCATGGTGATCAGATAATGATATGAATAGCATAACAGTTTAAACAATGTACCAGTAAAGGCCTTCTCATAGACCACCATGAGAATTTCGGGGGAGAGGCTGAAGCCCCCCAAGCCCCCCCCCCCCCACATGCCTGCATACAGCAACCCATTCAATACCTTGTTGCAATGCAATGCAATGACACACAAATACACAGACAAAGGCAAAGGCTTCTCCTTTCATTTCCGGCTCTGTGGATAACTTCGAAGGGATTGCTCCAACTGGGTCATAAGATATTGGCCAGAACTATTGAGATGACCCAATGTAATAGGATTAGTAACAATCCTGTGTGTGTGCCACCAAGTCTCCTGTCAATTTATGGAGACCCCCCATGAATTTA